AAAGAGAAAGAGAAAGAGAAAGAGAAAGAGAAAGAGAAAGAGAAAGAAAGAGAGACAGAAGAGGAAAACACGATCTCACCTTTCATTTTACCCATCTACCTTTGCAGTTAGTCATATAAATAAACATTATCCAAAATAAAAGAGACATAGTGTGAAAGATTTAAATACATGAGCAGCAGAGCACATTTAAAAGCTCATGGAAGTGGAAAGAATTATGGAGTGGTCAATGATCTACATAAATAATTTTTAACAAATTTTTTTCCACCTCATAATAACAAAGATTCATAAGGTGCATTACAAAACTCACACAGCTATCAGAAGCTGGTAAACCAGCACAGGGACTGTTTAGGAAATAGTGGGAAAATTAAAATGCAAAATTCATGCAATTCATAGAAGGATTGGGGTGGGTTTTTTTTTCAAATGTTCATGAATTCAACAAGTTTTCCTGCACAATCTGAAAATTCTGTGTATTCAATTAAAAAAAATTAGTCTCCCTTATTTGGATTTCATTAATATGTTCAGGGCTTTTCCCTGATTAGAAGGTGGAAAGTGGACAGTGATTTCTTGTGACTTAAATTAACAAACCTATGTCCACTATGAGTAGGAAATAGCAAACACATGATGTTACAAAGAATGACCACCCTTTCAAATATGTCAGTAGATAATTACACCTTATGAGTATATTTGAAAACTATCAAATTGCTACATTAATGTTTTACATTAAAAAAGGGCTAAAGTTTATCATAATAATTTACACAACCATCAACTCCCAATACCATTGTAGAACCTGATACTAACTAAAAACAACTTGTATTTCCTGTGGACTCCTGGAATTAGAACTGGGAAAATATTAAAACATATATTTTTTCATAGAAAAGTCTTCTCAGGAACAAAGCTTGTCAAAAGTTCTAGGAAAATTTGGTAAATACTGTTAAAAAAGGGAGAAGGGAGATGTTTTAAAATGCCATTTTTTTCATGCCAACATTTTTAACATAAATTTCTTAGTGTAACTGCAAAAACGGTTTATTTCTATATTTCGAGGGGGGAAATTGATTCAACTGTTTGTTTTCAAAATAGTGTTTTTGTTTAAAAATTAACCTACCCAGAAAAAATGGAAAAAAAAATTTAGAAGAAATGAAATAAAGCACTTATTTTTCATAAGTTGCACTAAAAAAAATAATCATATGTTCATAGTATCTAACAGTGTAAGTATGTCAAGGTGAATTCAATTAGAATTTAATTAGAAGTTTTGTTATTAAATGTATGAGTAAAACTATGCATATATTAACTTGCTTTTTACCCATAAATACCATTGAGATTTAGGGCATTACATATCAGTCTGGTATAAACTACGGAATAAAAACACCATTATTTTTTTAGGTGAGAATGTGTATAGAAAAAATGGCAGATTTATTTTGGCAAACAATTTGATAGAAGGTTGGGATACAATCCTATTAACAATAGTATGGTATTTGTTTTAATATACAAGAGATATCTATCATAGGATAAAGGTTTTAGCCAATATGGTGACATCATCTGTACATACATGGACTAAGAAATTAAGAAATTAATGTATACAGATTATTTTTAGTATAAAATAGCATATTTAAGGAATAGTTATTTGGAACTGATCTTGAATGTCAGGTAATCAATTTTTTTTCTGCTAAGCTATGAAGCTTGTGAGAGCACAAGTTAGCAGCTAATGAGCTGTTTTTCTAGTTGGAGCACTTGTTCCAAGTTCTAGTGATAACCAGAGCTATCAAATCATAAACTGTTTTGGTTTCCATTTGCAGATGTACACAACACCATTATTAATTCTTGCATTTATAAAGCAGAATCAATTTAAGGAACAGATATCTAACTAGTCCTTTCTCTACATGATAGTCATTGGTTGCAATACATCGGCTTTCTTCAGGCATTTAATTTTGAACAATTTTTATAAATTCAGTTTCAGACCAATACTTCCCCACCAAATGCTTCCATTTACCACCAAAGAAAAGTAGCAGCGTGCTACTAGACCCATTAATAGCCACTACTTTTTTAAGTAATTCTTTACAACATATAAAGATATATATATAAAGATATATAAAAATAAACTATACTTCAATAAGAGCACAATAAGAGATGTAGTGCAAAATGCTACTGTATTGCCATGTTTCACTAAAGCCATATTCAGCTATTTCTTTGTCCATTTACACAATATATTCAGTGAAAGTACTAGCACATGAAACACTACACTGAGGTACTTCCTCCTGATATTCATTATGTTTTGGAGTTAAAACTAAGGCCCTTTAAGATTCTGAAAAAATCTCACACTAAAGAAGAGTGTTCTAGGACTAAAAAAGATAGCATTGGAAATCAAAACAGATGTTCTTGCAAGGCTGCAAAGCCAGTGTTGTAGATTTAAGTGATCCGGATAAGTTGCAAGCTGAAACTTTCAGAGATTTGCCAGCAAAACTTAGCAGTAAAAATCTGGTTAATATTAAAAGCAGAAATGCTTTTTCAACATAATCCTAAATGGATTTATTGTATCTCATTTTCTTAAGAAGCTTCAGTGAAGAAGTGGAATGAGAAAAACTAGCATGCTTTTACCATCTTCACTAAGAAAAACAATGTGGAAAGAAACCCCCAAACCTGTAGATCTAAATCAAGTCCTAGAAAGCTCCTATTTATAATTGATTATAATTAGCAATAGAGTAATGAAACCAAATAACAATATGGAATCCAAACTGACTTAACTTTGTAAACTCAGACCCATCTGCTGGTCAAAGCTGAAACAAAGATCTCACATTCGCTTTTAAGGAAGTTTGAGTCCAGCTGTGCACCAGGAGTTAGAGCTGAGGACTTTCTTCTTTTAAGACATCACAAAACAGTCTGTGCAAAGCAGAAATTAGATTTTGCTTACAGCATAGATAATATATATTTAGTAGTTTATCCTTTCAAAAACTTGGTCAAGAAAATTCTTGGTTGATTCTTCACTGATCTGTTCTAGCATTTGCAGCTGTACAAAGAAAGAAGAGGAGAATAAAGGACACGTAGTTTCTTTGTATGATATAATAAGCAAGATTATTGGCTGAAGAAGTCTCTTATCAATGCAAAATTCATGGACAAAAAAATGTCACAGAAATTATGTTATTGGCACATTGATAAATGACATGCCTACTTAACTGGGATCACTGCCAAGGGACAGATCCAGTTTCATGCAGGGTTTCGGTCCCCCTTAACAGCACCAGCAGACAAAGTGGCAAGCAGTTTATTTTGTGGTGTTCGCAGATCTCTCTGTATGTGGAACAGTAGGATAAATGTCCTTTAGTCATGCCATTATTGATCACTCTGGCATGAGTCTTACCAAATCAAAGTCATCTTAATATAGACTTTATACATGTTTCAATTGATTTAAAATTCTTAAGCACTTACCTGGATGCTGCTTAAAATAATTTCAATAAGGTCAACATACTGGAAATTAATGTCATAATCAAGATATTTGTTAAATACGGATAGGTACATTTCAAATGCAAATACACTAATATCAGAAACTTCCATTGCTGCCACAATGCTTTTACCCCATGTTAAAAATAACTCAGACACAGTGGTGTTTTAGGTGGGCTTCCCGCTAACACCCTGAAACCAAGACCATGTTCTAATACTGGGCAGCTTCAATGACTCAGAGGAAACCTTACAAAACATGGCTCTCGGCCTAGGTAATCTTCTATTTAGGAAGATTATTGATCCAGCTCCTCTCTAAACTATGCCATTTCCCATCTGGAACAGCTTAGAGAAGGAAGAATGCATACTTAGGACCAGTTGTCTTTAAAAAAAATTTATGATGATGATGATGGAAAACAGGAAGAGACTGTGTTAGTCGTCAAAATCTCTTTAAAGCTGCCTTTTCATACTGAATTATCAAAAACTAACCATTTCAACAGAACTTGCTGAATCAAATTCTCCTTTCAGTATGAGCTGTTTTGCTGTTTGTTATTATCTCTTTCATTTTATCTCCTCTTTCCTTCTTTGTTTTTTCGTTTCCTTTGGCCACTTAATAAACAGACCTTTACACAACAAATGGATTCCCCATCTTCACCTCCCAGGTGAATACTGTAACCACTAGGCTGTAAAATTTCTCTCTCTCAAGCTACTCTACGCACAGCAGTGCAGTTTTAATAGGAAGGGAGAAAAGTGATTCCAGCTCAGCCCCTCAGCAGGCAGTATTGTAGGAGATACTGATTTGAAGTCTTTCAGGCAGCTGAAGCTGGCTCAGACTTCTCAGTAATGCCAGCAAAATTGAATTTTGCCTTCTGAACACTACCATAAGAGTGAGACACTCTTCCCATGGGTAAGGAAAGCGCAGGGAGGAGGAGTGGCACCCTGACTGAATAAAGCAGTGAGGAGCTAACAGATCCTCTCCTGTCTGCACTGATGCGAGACATTGCAGCACTGACTGGGTATGGATCCCATCCGGAAGCAGAGGCTTCCCCATACACGCTTACCCTTTCTGTACAGCAGCAACTGCAGCCAACCCAGTTACAGTCATGTTGCTGCTCTAGACAACTCCTTGCTTTGCCTGTTTCTGGAGATAGCCCTGTTAGCAGTGAAGGGCTTTCAATCCACTTCCTATGACTTGAGCATGTCCAGAAACTGCTTTTCTAACACTGAACTTCTCCAGACAAATTGCCAACAAAGTTATTAGTTGTCCCTGTATTTTCAGGTGAGTCCCATCCCAGCAGTCACTAATTGAGTACCATCTCCAAACACTTCCCGGAGTCAGATTTTTAAAGGATTCAGAATTAGATAGAAAATTACTTTTTTGCTTCTAGATGGTCTAAACTGCTCTGATTGATCAAGCCTGGGACAATTCTGGTTGACTAAAAAAGCCAAGATGTCTGGGAGACAACATTCAGCAGACGAGATGTGATTTACGATCTCAGATTTAGATCCACAGGCTTAAATTCATTCTGTTTCTTTAGGTGTGTAAGTCCATTCATGTATGGGCAGCATGAAGTTTTATGGAAACTGATCAGTTGCAGTACTTACATTAAACAGCAGACCTATACTTTCAGGTATAGGTCTAATATGTGCACTTTATATAGCACTAACAGCATGTCACAAGATGCTCACAAAATACATTCCTATACAAGCTTTCTCAGATAAATCTTTTTGACCACACAGCTCGCTCACCAAACATGCATGCGCAACAAAGCATGATTTAGGTTAACATAATGGTGAAATGGAGGGCCAACAGCTGAAGTCATATAACCTTCAAAAACATAACATAATATAAAATATCCTAACAGACATGAAGATTAAATGCGCTGTGTGAAAGCTGAAAAAAGAAATCCCAAATCCTGCTCTTGCCTGCTCCCTGCTTACATAATACTGACACTTTGCAAAACTATTTCCAAAAGTCAAATTTTAAGAAAAGGCTCATGCATTTTATACATACTATTACACCCAAAAGACTCATCCTGTACTGAAAGATACAGGAATACCAAGACTTCTAAACAAGCTATAAGGTGAGTAGATTTGATGCTTAGCTTGCTTTTAGTACCAGTCAGGGATTTGCTACTTTTGCAAAAACTTATTTATTATTTTTATTTTTAAAACATTGTAATTTTATTATTCATTATTTTATTATTTGGAAAAATATTATTTTTAATGATGGAAAAATAAAAAAAAAGGGTACAAAGATACAAAAGTAACAGTTAATTATCCCCATTTCTTTATATTTTTGTTACATCAGATGCATCTAATAAGAACTACAGAACTATTCAGACCTATTAAGAGCTAAAATACAAACTTTTCTTAGATAAAAAACCATGTCTAGATTTTTAAGCTATATTAATTACGTCAAATATATTCAAAATATACTGACATCTAGTATGGAAAAGTAAGGCTTACTAAAAAAAAAAACAAACCACACTAATTTCTGAGAAGACCTTGAAATAATTGTCAGCTAGGACAGGACTCCATAACCTTCAGATTTCAGGAGAGAATATCCCTGTAATTAAAATGGAACAGAGCTTGGGGAGTCAAGAAATTGCAGGAGAACAAAGACATCAGGCTAAAAGCAGTAAATCAAGTGCTGACTCCAGGGAGAAAGGAGTAGATCAAGTGGGGTTAGAAAATGGGACTAAAATTCATAAAAGTTAGGCAGAGATGTGCAAAGTGGAAAGCACAGCAGCACAGCAGGAGAAGTGAGAGAAGCATCCAGCAGAAAAGGTAACCTTTGAATTCCTTGGTTCTACGAGACTGTCTGAAGAATCAGGAACAGCAAGTACTGCTTTATTTATCTTTTTTAAAAATCCATGTTCCAAATGTATTAGGGTTTTTGGAAATTCTAGGAAAACAATTTTTATGCTATAAACTGAACATTCATGGATACCCACTGAAGATATGTTTCCAAAAAGCCTACATGGCTCAACTCTAAAGGTACATGAGACATTCTACTTTCATGCAGAGGGGACTATATCCCCAGCATTTACAAAAACATTTTACAGTAGGCCAGTTCTGGATTTAAGTTGTTACATTCTGCCATTTGCTATCCTTCCTGGTTTATTTTCCTTGTGAAGAAAGACGACTCAGAAGGGTCTCAACTACATATGTTTAAGGGAGGACTTTGGTCAGAATAAAGAGAGTTTTGATGTTTACATAAGGTAAGAAAAGTAATTTGTGGTTGAATATGGCAGACATATTGTGGGAAAAGGTCCAGTTCCAACTCATGGAATTTGACATACATGCATTTTTTAGGTTAAAACTCTGCTGTAAGATGTAGATCATATGAGTTACACTTGAACTGAGATGAAAACTCAGTGAATCTCTGACAAGTGTCTGCTCTCCAGCATTATGTCCAGAGGTGTCTATAATCAACTCATATCTCCATTTTGAATGACAGTGTTTCCTAAGCACTGAGATAATCTTGCAAATGCATTACCCTTCTCTAAGCTAACACACACCTTAATCTGTGATGGGACTGGGAGATGGTTGAAGACACATGTAACTGTCTTGGTTTCATCATGCACATATGGACCTTTCCTCAAGATACTTGGACAATGATGAATTCAGCCTATTCCAGTGCTCAGTCATAGACATGGTAAAATACCTTTCTTTTCCAGTAACAGCCTACCAGACAACTCAGCCAAAAGCAAAGGGACCAAAGTGCTAGACACTCCCGCAGTCTGCAGGAGTTGAAATGCATAGCTCTCACTTTCCTGGAAAGGACCCTTTAACTCTGGAGTACTGATATGGCCTAGGACTGGTCCACCTTTCATCTTACCTGAGGATGTGAGGGCACTGTCAGAAAATAAAAGATGAGCTGAATAACTTCATATGCAACTTCAGCTTATTCAGCTTCAGCTCAGGCAGCCAAATTACAGCAGCAGTAATGCTCCATGTGCCCTTGTCCCATGTAGACCAAGATCCAGCTTTAAGCATTCTTTACCTTTTGAGTTCTTATCTCTTCATTGCCTAGATAGATAGGGAGTTTAGATAACTAGTTTACATGTTTAAACTATTCTTGTTAGTACCTTAGGTCTGTGTTCATTCAGGTGCTCTGTGTCTAACATGGGTTGTCTAATCTTGACCACAATTACAGCCTGCTAGGGTCCAAGCCCACTGCAACAGGAGAATACTGGTTAGCATCACAGGCATTGTAAGAAAAAGATAGTATATCGAATATGAATTTGAAAAATTATAAAACATATCTGATGGTTGTGAAAGGGAGGATTAAAATTGTTCAGTGATTACAGTAGTTGCTAGTTCATTCCCAGTATAGGTTATTACTTCATCCTCAATGTATCCTTTTCATAAATAATCAAAAAAACCTTACCACATGCTTGGAACAATAATGCTATCCAGAATGGTAGTAATCTCTTTCTTAGTAAGAGAAGACATAAGTCAACGTCTTTCAAGACTACCACAGACTTCAGGTCTTTTTGCTATGGTAAGTGCAAAAGAAGAACAAATCATTGCATTAGTAAAGAAAATGTTGATAAAATTCCTTTAAGGAGTTACAGCTCCTTCGACATCATCTGCAGTTAGCCATTTGATTCAATCCACTTCCTCATAATGCACCCTCAAATGGTAAGCATGGTAGAAGAGTGTTTCAGTGACAGCTGCAATAGTCATTGTTCGCTCTTGGCAAGATTCTGCTCATTACCCAATGTCACAATTTAGCTAGAGAAGTTACTGTTAAATAAAGTTACTAAGAGCTTTATGAATCTAATAAGAGTGAAGCTGAATTATATATTTAATTAATCATTAAAATCAATTAAATATGTTCTCTCCAAAGAGCAAGAGTTCTACCCCTCATATCTGCTTTCTGGTATATTTTACATATGAATGTAGAAGTCAGTGAAAGTACACCTCATTGGAATCAGGACTAGTACTTTTACTCCCAGTAAAATTTGAGAGAATTATGTAGGATGGTCAGGTTCATGACACCCTGTCATATGCTGTCACAGACAATCTTATGGGATCGAGGATATAGTCTGATTTAAGAATATGTTTCCCTGCATCGTGCATTTATCAAATCAATATGTATCAATTTATCTTTTGCTCATAGACCAAAATAATAAATTAAGCAAGGAAACCAAGTTTCAGCGGGCAAGTGAAATGGTCGGAAGACTGGCACCAGGCTATACATAGTCGCAATCTGAATCTCCCTCACTCCTCAAACATGAAACTTTCTTATAAAATTGTTCTATGGCTATGGAAATGTACCATTCTACCCTCTCCTAGCCCCATTAAGGTGACTGATAGACTTTAGATTACAGTGACTTGAAAAAAATTACTTTTTTAGTATTAAAAAAAAAAGAAGACATTCAGAGAAAAGAAAAGAACAAAAACCTACCTTTTCAGTAAAAACAGAAGGCAACAGAAGCTTTGGAAAAAGTGCTTGCCAATAGAAGGATTTCATGCTCTTGTTAATTAAAGGAACAAAGAAAAAACAGTGCAGTAGGCTGTATCCTACATAACAGCTTCTACTAATAAAAAGTAATAGACAATTTCCTGCATTCAATTCTTTTGAATACTATTATACAAGGTAATAGAGTTTTGGAAATGGAAGTCCTAGCAGCCTGTCAGAAAGAGCTTTCTTCCACTTTTTTTTATTAAATGACTAAGTGCAGCAGTCTGTGTCCTATCTCTCCCTCTTGCATCTATTGGATTGTATTATTTTACATTTTGATTGAAATGATGTCACCAGCAGATAAAAGCCTGGCCCAGGCATTGTAATTGAATCAGCCTGAGTTGTTTATTCTAGTGATCTACAGCGATGCTTCCCTTGTCCTAACACAGAATACATAAAAGATCCCCTCTTGTTTAACATGCTACTGATTAGATCTATTTTTTTAGAAGAAGGAGGAATCAAATTGGGGGGTCGAGAGAGTAGGAACTGGAGTTTGGGGGGAAATTGGAAAAAAACAGATGAGAACAGGCACCATCTGCAAAACTTTCCATGTGTGACTGAAAGTTTAAATAAATAAATTTCACATGGCATCAGTACCAGATGCAAACAGATTTGATTGACAACATTTAAATAACAGTTAATGGGAATGTCTACAATTTTTGGATGGTTTTTCATGCTTAGGTCCTAAATCTGACACTAATTCAAGTTTTTATTTAAAAACAATGCTTATCTTGGAAGAAGAAATACTCTAAATTGCTGGGGGTTTTACTGCTATAAAAATATTTTTTGCATTGGGTAACTAAATTATTAAGATATTCTATTTTACATTTTAAAAAGAGTTATAACAACCTTTCATTTGGCAAGTTGTGACAAAATTTACTTTCTTTGGTAATTATTTTAAGAGAAAGTCTATCTTTTATGGTAAGTACTGTTTCTTTATTTTTTGTAGTCGCCTCCCCTGCACCTTCCTGCCCCCCTGCCTCAAAGCCTCAGACAAATAAGGGAAAAAATTGCACTATTTTATGTATGTGATGTGTGCACCTTAACATAAAACTTCTTCAACGGCATTTTTCATGGTGGTGGTGGTTTTCTGTTTGTGGTTTGGTTTTATTTTTTCACTTCTGGTCTTTCCTTAAAATAAAGTATAATCATATGATGTTTAGTAGTAGTGCCAAGATGAAAATAAGCCAAGCCAGGCAATTTCCTGAACTGTTTTTCACTTTAAACTTATGTTTTTAATTGTTTACCTCAAATCTGAATCTAGGAGCTTATTTAGTTTGTTATCTGGGATTTCTGTATGAGGAGGAAAAAAAAGATATAATTTGAGAAATTATTTAAGGCATAAATTAATTTTTTGAACACAAATAATTTACTAACAACTACAATTAATAAAATACTGTCATGGAAATGGCTACTAAAGATAGTAGCAAAAAATTTAATTTGGAGAATTTTTTAATCCTTTCTTTTTAAATATAGGCAAGATTATTTTCCACAAGTGAAAACTTAAGTCAGCAAAATGTATAATAAAAATGCATCTATCAATCTCCCTATACAGCTTAATTTTACTGTTATTTCTTGAGTATTTGCTACAATCTATAAATAAAGAATACATTTTCCGTACCATTTACAGTCTATTTAGCACCCATTAACACATGAATTACAAAATTCACTTCATAATGATTGCTGGTACCTAAAAAACAGACCTTAGAGACCTTAATTTTTTTTGTAAGTCATTTATTGTCCTGAAGGTATCATTATTTAAAAGCATTTGTAAAATATACTTATTAAGATTTCTAGTCAGCAATGAACTCAGAGCTGGGAAGGTACAAGATGCATTATCTACATTAATAAATGTGCTTGTTTGGAATGTATTGTTAAGAATGCATTTTGACTGACGTTACTCCTTCAATTTGCATTTATTAGATCCAGTTGGGCAATACTCTTTACAGTTATCTTAGTTTTCAACACTGCTACTCACTTTGAAAGTACTCATTTCATAAAAACTAAACTGAAATAAAGAACAAATTAATTCAGATCTGTGATTAATAATTATAAAACAAACTCATTGCTCTATTTATATACAAATGTGTACCACAGTCAGCCTTGTAACATAGAGAAAAACTGTTCTGTGACCACATAGAAAGATCCAGACTCACCAAAGCACCAATCCATATTCAGTCCCCAGAGCTGGTTAAATATAATTTGCATCACAGAGGCTACACATTTGGTCTCTGGGGGAAAAAAAAAAAAAAAAAAAGTAGGCAATGTTGATTTAGCCGCCCTTCAATACTCTCCAGCAGCTGCCTCAGGGAATAGCACTCAGAGGAACATCCCAATATGCCATGCTTTTTCTCACCATCACATTACTTTCTTGTTAAAGCATAAATGGTTGGTACAGGCAAATTGATTTCAACAAAGGAAAACCATTGTGAACATGAACTCCAGCATCCAATCCCCCTAAACAGGAACAGAGATTTATTTATAATTCAAAAATGCAGAATTAATTTTCTAATAGCAATTTTTTCTTATTATTGGAGTTTCCACTGTGAATGCCTCTTATGTTTGGATGTCTGGCAAACATCCTAACACCATCAATGGAAGTTGGTTCAGACACTGCTGGCAGAAAGGTGTAAAGAAAAAGAAAATCCTATATTTTCATTTATAGTTTACAGTAATTTCCTTTTATTATTTGTAGTCAGTCTCTCATGGGAGTCTTTCCCTGTGAGATTTGCAGCCACAAGCATATTTGATATACCAGCCTGGGACTTGTGCAAGCTTATCAAAATCAAACTAAACTTTCAACCTATTAAAGGTTGCAAAAAGAAATGGAAGTTGACAAAACTTAATGCCAACAAGTGAAAAGAGTGACCAGGAAACAAACAGTCAAACACTAGTGCATGTGTCAAAAATGCAGCAAAACATAAGAAAAATGATGCATGGAGGTTTACTTGATTTAAATAATGACATATTAAAAAACACTCAGATCCCAGGACTAATGATGTGAGATGAAGAATGATGAAGAAAAGGAATGATGGACCCTACATCCTGCCTTCCTCCAGTGCTCCAAGCACATGAAAGTCATCTGTATAATCAAAACCAAGATCACATAAGAGAGTAATTTGTTGGAGTTTATGGGTGAGAATGACAAAACTGAGGTTCAAAACAACAAGGGTTTCTCATTAGGTAGTGTGCTTTTAAATCCTGAAAAAAAAATATTTTTTTCCTTCTTTAACTCATTCAGAAACCTGAAATGAGTGCTCAGCTTGTATTGGTATTGAAACTACCACATACTAATATTTCAGGTCTGTCTTTAATCACAGAACCAGGCTTGAATACGAAAATAAAAAGAGCAGCAAGATGCTGAAATTTCACATATATCCTGTCTCTAACCAAGGTATAGAATACAGGAGGAAACAGGGTTTTGATGATAAGAAATGGCAGTTTCCTTGATCAATTTTCTTGTTTTGGATATAAATAATATCTCATAACTTAAATCCAACTTCTTCTACAACTCGAGCAAGAGACCAGATTTTCAAAAATGCTGTGCCCCAGCAGACTCCTCTGAAGTCAAGTATTTAGAAAGCTAATTGAGGAATCCAATAGACTATCATGCTTTTGAAAATTCTCGTCCAGACAATGTAAATAACTGCCAAGATAGTCAAGTACATATAGTTCCTCCTGCTTTTTCTCAGAACTGATACTTCAGCTGTGTTTTGTCTTTTCTTTTAAAAAATAATTAGTCATAGCAGCTATGCAGCTCCTTCATAACATTAAAACAAAACCAAAAAAACTGTGCTACATTCTTGCCATTAAGGAACAGTAAGAAAATCAGTAAAAATATAGTTGTTAGTGTCAGATTTTAAGGAGTCATTTTACAGTAAAACAAATGCAGATATGAATAATTATTTGGCTATATATATGCATATATACAAATAAATGCACATACACATTAGAAAAGCACAGGGTGCAATTTCCTTCTACAATATTTATGAAAATATCTAAAGACTGATTAATTGCATTGTACAAAATGTGATTCTTTCAGAAAATATATTGCAGCTAAGAGAAAATGTGTCTCTGTAGCATATTTTTTCTTCCAAAGTGTGAATATTAAAAAAAAAGTTTACATGTCATCCTGTTCCATCTTTGCATGTACTTGCTCTTTATCTCTAAAGCAGCATACGTTCCATATGAGAGAGGGGGTTGCCATGGTATCTGCACTTTAAAAAATTGAATAGCAGATCTAAAAGAAGCATAAAATCGATTTAACAAGTTGTCATGTAAGTTACCCTGGCCCATAAGGATGAAGTCTATGCACCTTTTTCTATATAAAAATGTTTCTTTTTGAAAGAACACTAATTGCAATTTTTTTAGTCACTGAGCTAAATACACTGCTTGTCGTTAGGTTAGTCTCATCAACTTATGAATTATTTGGGTGTGCATGTGGATTTTCAAGAATTTTTTTTCCCTTTTCTCTTAAAAACACAAAAAAATACAGAACTAGTAAAGAAATAAGTCTAAGTAGTGATCCTAATGCAGAAGATAAAATGCTAGTGGTATAATCTGAGACAAAAATAAACCTTACTTAAAAATGAATTTATTAACTCCTTTCTCATTCTAGAGAAAAGATATTACAATAAACACCTTGCAAAAGGACATATTTCTTTTTCTTTTTTAACTACTCTGAAGAGAAGGCTTCATAGCTCTTAATGTGGAACTTCTTATAGTTGCAGGCACAAAATAGTCATTCACATTTTAGTGCCCAGTTTGTAGGGGAGGACAGAGTTCTTGCAACTGTAGTGATGTAGTTCCACCAGCTAATTAGAGAAAGTGTGTTTTTCCTCTGTTTTTTGGTCATTTGTTTATTTGGTTTGGGTGGCGTGTTTTTGTTTATTTGTTTGATTCATTTTGTTTTTTAAACAGAGAGAGAAACATGAATGGAAGAGGAAAGGGGGAAGATGAGTTTGTTCCAAAACCATATCCTCCCAACTTTCCTGAAGGATAGGTTACCACCAACTCATTGAGGAAACCCCACACAGAATTATTACCTCTGCTGAAACACCCTCCTTGGAGGAGTACAGCCTTTGGAAAAAGGTCAATGTTACCTAGCAACTACTAAAAGCCAGTGCCTTTTAATAAATTAACCCCTTCACATGAGCTTCGGTAAGATCTCACATCACAAAAGGACAGTGCGTGTTTCTCCACATAACACACTAGACATTTTATTTTCATTTTCAATGGGTTCAGCTGGCAAAAGCTGCCTGATGACATCATGGCTGGATCAGAAATTCTTTTAAGGATTGGATTTGTTCACTTGAATATATAATCCTAACGATGCTCAAACAGAATTATGCTGATCTCTTGTAAACCCATACAAAAATCAAAGGCTGTTTCACAGAGAGTTTCCAGAATTTTTTATGCCAAGTTGCCACCTCCATGGTTTGGCTGCAGCTAGGTCCCAGAATGGGAGAATCATAAAACACAGCCACAGTGGATGTGCAAGGCAAAGTCCACAGAGCAGCCCCAGACACTGCTCCCGCTGCAAGGCGAGTATGAAGTCTTACTGATTTACTCTCTTCTTTGAATGTAAATTCCATATGGAAATAGGAGATGAATATGAGTGGATTTAAACAAGAGAAGCTCTTTGGCCCAAGGATCCCAAATAGCTGACATTGTGTGGATTATGGTGCTCAAGGCAAATGCCAGAGCTGTCAAGGGGAAACATGAGTCAGTGTTAGGGAATGCAGGCAGAGAATGTGCTAAGATAACAAAGAAAGGGACAACCTCTCTACCTGATTATTTTCCCACATCCTAGGACTCATTCATGGCCAATAGTTTTTCTAGGTTTGCTCTCTATCAATGAAGTTCCTCTAGGTTAACAAACTAGCTCCCAATTTTATACGCGGTTCACCTACCTACTGGTGTATGCAACCTGAGGATCAAGGATTCTTCCAGACACATCCCTCTATGCCATGACACACCAGAAGAAGCATCAGAAAGCTTCACAGAACCATTATTGTGTCTTTTTAGACACAGCCACTACTTGTACACTTCCCCTTTTATCTTCAGAGAGACTGAGAGAGAAACATTTTGCTGAAGTTGGGTGAGAAGCTGTTACCTTTTTTGCTTCTCACCACTTGCTGTGTAGCAAGGATTTACTTAGTCTTGTTAGACAAATTCATGTTTTCAATACTTTATGTGGAAAATGAGGAAAGTATAATTAACATTCACCCATCTAGAAGACTGTCGTACATGTGCAACATCTGAAGTATTCTACTGGATTTAAATCCAATGTTTTAATCCAAAAGTTCCCAGTCTTGTTCTGCCTGAAGTCTGTAACCTTACTTATGGTACAAAAATACAATCTTGTCCAGCTATGCTCTAGCCAGAAGTAAAACTCACTTGGATTTTAACCCTAGTTCTGCCTCAGTGAGAAAAATGTCTAGCTGGCTAAATAAAGAGTTAAGATCTTTTCATGACATGAATTCAGAACAACAGGTTTATCTTCACATCTCCCAGTGTTTTGCAAAAGTATGCACGTAAGATTAAAAATTCTTTTCAGACAGAAAAGCCAATTGTATCAATTTTGCACACTCCATTTCATGCTTAATGACCTTTCCCAGGGACACCAAGCTAAACTTTATGGAACAAATTTATAGAATTATACCTCTTTCTTAAAGGAAACATAAAAATGTTACCCAAAACTGTGACTTCAAGAATACATCTAAACCCAACCCTCCCCCATATACATGGCAAAGTCATGATAAGATTTGCAAAAGATGGCAACCCTGACTGACATGGTAAGAAAGGAATGCATTGTTCTAAAGAAAGTAGTGCCTTTCACTTAAAAAGCATTTCTTATTTTATTTTCCATATTACTCTGAATTTCTTTGCATTTTTTTATTACTTTGGACTCAACTGTCTATAGTAACACCCTCATCTTTCTATCAGTTCAGAAAAATTTATTTTGTATCTAGTAAGGCATTAGGTATTTCCGATTACTCCATTCAATGCATGTTAGACACAATAGGTTTGTCAGCAAAGGATCATCCGTTTGGCTTGTGCATTACGTCCTTCTTCAAGTCCCTTAGCTTTCACTATTTCTTAATATCCTAATTAATTTTAGGTCATCTGCATTCCTCATCTCAATTCTGCTTCTTCTACAGGAATAAGATGTATGGACTACCAGTAGAACCACCTTAACTAATGTCAGGATTTTCTTCTTAAGAGGTTT